TGTGTGTGTGTGTGTGTGTGTGTGTGTGTGTGTGTGTGTGTGTGTGTATGCGCACATGTGTGTAAATGTGTCCTGGAGCCTATAAAGGTCAGTAGAGAGTGGAAGATCTTTTGGAGCTGGAGTTGCCAGTAACTATGATTCACACCACATGACTCGAGATTTGAATGTCTGTCCTCATTGTTGGAAAGGGCTCTTAACCAATGAGCCGTCTCTACAGCCCTCCCCTAACTTGGTTCTTAAGAGAATTATCTTTCACAAATATAGGGAATAAATAATTCCTCAATCCATTGTTTACCCAAACCCAGCATTCATTCATTAAATATTTTTACTGGAACAACCTATGCTATGTTAGCCACTGGATATAGGTGTAAACAAGATATTATCTTTGCAGTTATTACCCGATTAAAACAATACCAATTCTTATTATCAAATAATGGATACTTATGATCTTGTTCAAAGGGTGATTTGTGAAAAACTGATATAACTAGACTGAGAAACAATATCAGGTTTTGTCTGGTAATACTTTTCTAAAGTATTTAAAGTTTCTAAAGGGCTAAGTTTTCTTTAAGGGGCTGAAAAAAGTCTAGTCAACTTATGGGCAACATAAATTGAACGTTTTTCTTCTTTTTTTGAGGGGTCACAAAATTGGGATTGAGGTGCATTATGGGAAATTCCCAAATGATAAATAAAAATGCTTTGTTGGAAAAAATGTAATTAGATTCTCAGTACATTTTTTTTTATTATAACAACCTATCATCCATGTGTTATGTGTGTTCCAAGCAGGACTTTGACATACTTGATTGATTTACTACTGTTTTACAGATCAAGTGCTTGTGGGTCAGGTCACAGGACTAGCTCATCATCTGTCAAGAAGGGACCTTCCATATAAATACATTTAATAGTTTCAAAAAAGTTCATTTAATCCTCAACTTTTACAAGCTTTGTTAGAACACGTTCAAATCAAGTAATCTAGTAAGAGTGTGATGGGAGCAAAAAGAAGTGTACGTTAAAAAAGGAAATTTAGATTTCAAGTATATTACAAAATCAAGATAAGGACTGAAATACATCACTAGGAGTCAGTGACAGTGGTCAGTGGAACATCAGAATTAACATGTTCAGTGGAGTAGTAGTTATATAGAGAGATGAATTCTTTAGTGAAAGATAAAGAACTGGGAGTATAAAGTATGTTTGTATGTTTGTACATATGTGTATATGTATGTATGTATGTATGTATGTACTGATTGATTAAAACATCTTCTGAATAACCAAGGCTTTCTGGCACTAATGGAAAATTTCAGTTGTGAGGAAAGTGGGGCACATCAAGAGACAAATAATAGTGTTAAGATGGAAGAGATATGGAAATATGCCAGCTGGCATATATTCACCAATAAAGACATGGATGTTAAAAATACATCAGAAAATGACATTATCAGAGAAGACTGCTTCATAATCAGGTAAGCAAAGAAATATTAACTTGATCTTAAGGCCCTGCCACCGAGTTTACATAGCTTTCCTCTTGACTGGGTATCAATCTATGCAAATATAGAAGAGACATTGCACCAAAGGGCACTCAAGATGTTTAGGAATGTCCCAAGTGCTACATAGCTTCACAAGTATTAACATCTGCCTTGAGCAGGACCTTGTCTTTTTCTCCAGGTTCATCTCTTTATTCCCTCATCAGGCCAGAGATACTCTTCTTTTCTTCATTTACTTGTGGTTATATATTTTGAGGCAACCTTGCTATATATCCCAGGCTGGCCTAACATTTGTGATCCTCCTGCCTCAACCTTCCAAGTGCTACCATTATATTTATGGACTGGTGCACCTGGCTCTTTCTATTTCATTTTACATTCAGATTGAAATACCTACATGTGGGCTGACAGGATGGGTGAGTGGGTAGATGCACTTTCTGTCATGCCTGAGTCAGTGCCTGACACCCACATAGTAGAAGGAGAGAACCAACTCACACAAATTGTCTTCTGGCCTCCACATTTACATAGTAGCACACAACATCTGCCTCCCAAAAATAACATTAGAAATGTAATTTTTAATTTAAAATGAACAAAATACCTGCTGTGCTTTATAACTTCAAAAAGATTATTAATCCTTATATAATAATCAAAATAACATTTAAATGTCACTAATGACTAATTCCATCTCTATTCTGTCTATTCTTATTTACTCTTTTTGTACCTCTAATAACCTGTCAGCTACATTTGCCTTCCCTTTTATCACATGAAATGTTAAACTCTTTGAAAACAATATCACTCATTAATAGGATAAACCTACTAAAATCTAAAGAAACTAATCAAGAAAGAGGACCCTGACTAAAACGCTCAATCCCCATCCTGAAAGGCAAAGAGGAAGGACATCAGAAGAAGAAGAAAACAGGAAACAACCTAGGAACCTGCCACAGAGGGCCTCTAAAAGCCTCTGCCCTGCAGACTACCAAAGCAGATGCTGAGACTTATGGCCAACTGTTGGGCAGAGAGCATGGAATCTTATGTAAGAAGTGGGAAATAGTAAGATCTGGAGAAGACAGGAACCCCACAAGGAGAGCAACAGAACCAGGAAATTTGAACACAGGGGTCTTCCCAGAGACTCATACTCCAACCAAGTATGAGGCATGGAGATAACCTAGAACCCCTGCACAGATGTAGCCCATGGCAGTTTAGTGTCCAAGTGGGTTACATAGTAATGGGAAGAGGGACTGCCTCTCACATAATCTAATTGGCCTGCTCTTTGATCACCTCACCCTGAGGGGGGAGCAGCCTTACCAGGCCACAGAAGATGACAATGCAGCCACTTCTGATGAGAACTGATAGACTAAGATCAGAAAGAAGGAGAGGAGAACCTCCCCTATCAGTGGACTTGGGGAGGGGCATGCATGAAGAAGAGGGAAGGAGGGTGGGGCTGGGAGGGGAGGAGGGAGGGGTTTATGGGGGAATATAAAGTGAATAAAATGTAATTAATAAAATAAATAATGTGCTCAATACATAGTATACATTCCATACAAATTTGATTATTTTGGCATATACTAAGAATATTCATCTTAAAGGCAGAAAAGAAATAGTTACATTAGTGCCAGTAGGCAACATTCACTGCTCACTGAGGGCCAATCACTACTGATCCATATACTTCCTAATACTCTTCCTATTAATGAAGTGTGTTGTACTCATTCAAAGCTTAAGAAATTGGCAACAGGCTGGGTGTGGTGGTGCATGTTTTTAACCCCAGCACTTGGGAGACAGACGCAGGTGGCTATTCGTGAATTTGAGGCCAGCCTGGTCTACAAAGTGACTCCAAGACAGCCAGGGTTATTACACAGAGAAACCTTGTCTTGAAAAACCAAAGAAAGAGAGAGAGAGAGAGAGAGAGAGAGAGAGAGAGAGAGAGAGAGGAAGGAAGGAAGGAAGGAAGGAAGGAAGGAAGGAAGGAAGGAAGGAAGAAAGAAAGAAAGAAAGAAAGAAAGAAAGAAAGAAAGAAAGAAAGAAAGAAAGAAAGAAAGAAAGAAAAAGAAAAATTGGCAATATCTGGATGGTGGGGGGGTACATGCCTTTTAATTCCAGCACTCAGGAGGGAGAGGCAGGTGGATCTTTGAATTTGAGTCCAGCCTGGTGTACAGAGAGAGTTCCAGAACAGCCAGGGTGGCACAGAGAACCACTGTCTCGAAAAATCAAACCAAAAAAGAAGAGGAGGAAGGAAAGGAGGAAAGAAAGAAGGAAGAAGAAAATGGCAGTACAGAAGTTAAGTGTTCTAAACATCACAGAAGAGAAAATATCTGAATTAGGCCAGTTCCTTCCAGATCCAGTGTTTAATGACACAGAATTTTTCTGTGTTTCATCTTTATAGAAGACACATGGTATAGACAGCTAGTCATAAAAACAAAGACAGGTTATATGCAAAATAGCTTTCATGTACACAAATATTAATGAATATATTCAGGAATAATAATATATACATTTTAGAAGTTATGACTATAACTTTTCATATTAATAAATTGAGAATATTTAATAAAGAATATTAATAAAAGCAGAAACATAGGAAAAATTTATCCAATTTATTATTTGTAGCACTATTTCATGAGTAATGCATTCACAATAGAAATTTTATATTAAGCCAGACCCCTAAGTCAGTATTTGTTTAAGGGTTTGCCAGAAAGAATTAGTAAATTAGCTGGATTCCCTCTAGAACTCACTGATCATGATAGGAGCTAAGAAAGTTCTGCATTAAAGTCTATAAAATAGCTTACCAAATGAGACTCCATGGTCTGTCAGTTGCTGGTCATGTTTCTTGGATAAATTGAAGATACTTGCTGTGTAGCTTTCCAAGGCTTTTGCATAGTCTTGAATGTTGAAAGGAATGAGTACAGAGTCTGCAAGCTCATATACCAATGCTCCTCTTAGCTGAGCAACAGAAAGCTGTTTTTTAAATGTGGGGTCATAAAAGTTCTCTACCAATTCAAAGGTCTCGTAGATGGTATGGTATACAGGATAGCTACTGTATTTGTCTGTTTTCTAAAAGGGCGGGAAAGTCGAAAAATAAGCATTAGATGTTAAATTCATGACATTTTACTCAAAAATGATTAAAGAAAACACATACGATAGCCATAATTTCTACAATTAAGCAAATAAATTTAATACTATTTAAAATGCTACAACCAAAATGCTCACTGATTTAAATTTTTATATATTCTTTTAAATTTTATTTTGTTTTCAATTTTTTATTAATTATTATTATTTATCACAATTTATTCACTTTGTATCCCAGCTGTGCTCCCCCCCATCTCTTCTAGTCCCATCCTCACTCTCTTTTCTCCTCCTATGCTCTTCCCCTAGTCTACTGAAAGGTGAGGACCTCCTCCCCTTCTGTCTGACTCTAGCCTATCAGGTCTCATCAGGACTGATTGTATCCTTTTCCTCTGTGGCTTGACAAGCATGCACCCCCAGGGGGGAGGTGATCAGAGAGCCTGCCACTGAGGTCATGCCATAATCAGCCCTTCGTTCAACCTTTTGGTTCTGATAACCAAAGAAATATGTATTCAAATCAGCACAATTAAAAATTACAGACCAATCAAAGGTATGAAAAGTTCTGGGTAGCTTAGTGTCTACAGGGATGAAAGGTAAGTTGTTCTTTCCCTGACCAAGCAGTGTTCAACAAAATGCTATTAACCCTTGATAAGATTCTGGGAGTACCTGTAATGAACATGTTAACACATGTTAATACTGTGTAGAAAGATTTTGAGATCAATGTTTTCCACATCCTAATTTTAGTTTTTACCATCTGCTATGTTCTTACAGGACTATCATTCTTACTACTTCTTGATCACTAAAAATCAATCCTGTATCACCCTCGCTCCCTGACCCCCTGCTTTTTCTAATTGTGTGCTCCTCATGCACTGTGTCCTTGAATATTAGATGGCTTTGCTCAAACTGCTGACACAGTGTAATAGTGAACAGAGTGGTAAATATCCAAGTCACATTTGTCATGTACAGTTGATCCCCGAATCACAAAGGAATTAGGGAGAAACAAATGAATTCCCACACACTTGAAAGTACATGTATCAACTAAACTACTAATAATACAAACAATACATATTTTGTATGCTCTGTGTATTCTATATGGTGAAATATGTGCAATCCATAAACGATCACTTTTTACTACATATGTAACTTACTGCAGAGGTAAAGAGCTCAACCACAAGTCATTAGTGTCACATGGAATTTTAAGTATTTTAGGCAAATACTCAAAATAGTCACACCACAATACCACAGGATATAGCTATAAAATTATTTTAGTAGTATATTGTGTACTATAGTTAATTTATACAGCTATAATTTAACCTGACATTTTTATATTTACTTACATCTCTTTTTATTGCAAATATATAATTTTGTAAACAACTTTGATAAATTTAAATTTTTACATTATTTCTATATATATTTCATGGAAGTAAAAAGTGAAAGAGTTCTACATATATTTTCATGTGGAACATTCCTAGCTTTTTTGGTATTTCTAGGGTATGTACTTTGTAATCTTTTTAAAATTTTTATTAATTATAGTTTATTCACTTTGTATTCCACCTGTAGCCCTCTTCACCATTCCCTCCAAATCCCACTCTCCCTCCCTCTTCTTCTCCTATGCTTCTCCCCCAGTCCAATGATAGGGGAGGTCCTCCCCCCCCCTTCCATCGGAACCTAGTCTATCAGGTCTCATCAGGACTGGCTTCTTTGTCTTCCTCTGTGGACTGGTAAGGCTGCCCCCCCCCTCAGGTGGAGGTGATCAAAGAGCTAGCCCATGAGTTCATGTCAGAGACAGTCCCTGTTCCTAATATTGGGGAACTCTCTTGGACAGTGAGCTGCCATGGGCTACTTCTGTGCAGAGGTTCTAAGTTGTCTCCATGCATGGTCCTTGTTTGGAGTATCAGTCTCACAAAAGACCCTGTGCCCAGATTTTTTGCTTCTGTTGCTCTCCTTGTGGAGCTCCTGTTCCCTCCATGTCTTTCTATGTCCCCCTTCTTTCATATGATTCTCAGCACTCTGCCCAAAGTTTGGCTATGAATCTCATCATTTGTTTTGATACCTTGCTGGGTGGAGTCTTTCAGAGGCCCTCTGTGGTAGGCTCCTGTCCTGTTCTCTTTTGATGTCTGTCTCACTTGAGTTTCTGAATGAAGATTGAGCATCTTACCCAGGGTCCTCCTTGATTATCTTCCTTACGTGTACAGATTTTAGTATAATTATCCTATATTATATGTCTAATATCCACTTGTGAGTGAGTATATACCATGTATGTCTTTCTGCTTCTGGGATACATCACTCAGGATGATCTTTTCTAAATCCCACCATTTGCATGCTTTATTTTTGATTGCTAAGTTATATTCCATTGTGTAAATGTACCACAATTTCTGTATCCGTTCCTCAAATGAGGGACATCTGGGTTGTTTCTAGCTTCTGGCTATTACAAATAAAGCTGCTACAAACATGGTTGAGCAAATGTCCTTGTTGTATGCTTGAGCATCTTTTGGATGTATGTCTGGGAGTGGTATAGCTAGGTCTTGAGGTAACATTATTCCTAATGATCTGAGAAAGTACCAGATTGATTTCCAAAGTGATTGTATAAGTTTACATTCCCACCAGCAATGAAGTAGGGTTCCCCTTTCTCCACATCCTCTCCAGCATGTGTTGTCACTTGAGTTTTTTATCTTAGCCATTCTGATGGGTGTAAGGTGAAATCTCAGGGTCGTTTTGATTTGCATTTCCTTGATGACTAAAGATGTTGAGCATTTCTTTTAGTGTTTCTTTGTCATTCAATGATTCCTCTATAGAGAATTTTCTGTTTAGCTCTGTACCCCATTTTTTTAATTGGATTAACTGATTTGTTGCTGTTTAACTTCTATAGTTCTTTATATATTCTGGATATTAACCTTCTGTCAGATATAGGGTTGGTGAAGAACCTTTACTAAATTGTAGAAAAATCTCAAAAAATATTTGCATCTAAAGAGACCCGTATCACTTAAACTTATGTTGTTTCATGGTCAGATGTAGTAAAAAGTGAATATTAATATTCAATGCTTATTTATCTATTTGCAATATTCTAGTGCTCTCTTTGCTTCTTTATGTTGCCTGTATTCTGGATAGTCAACTTGGCAATCAATATGCATTATGTACAAGCAAGATATTGGTTATTGTACTTTGGACTTGAAACTGAGTGAAAGATGTAAAGAAGCTAAGTCTACTAATGTTTGATACATAACATAACTTGTGACATGGCCACAGTAATGCAGCACATGTTCAACATACGTGCAGGTCATCAAAATAGTTGAATGACAGTGATGGCTAGTACAGAGTGGAAAAATGGAAGAAATTAAAACTTGGGAGAAATGTGCCTTGTTCTCTACCCGCAGACCTTTTCTTACGGTAGGCAGGAGTGGGAAAATGGGAAAGGGCAAGTGATAATGTACAACCCTAGACCAGCATGTCTCTCAACTAAAACATTTACTCCGGGGGGGTGGGGGGAATAGTGTCTACACAACTAGACTACAAGATAAGATTTTACTGATTTACTTATTTATTTATTTTTAAGTCAGAATCTAGCCCTCTGATCTGATCTCAAACTCTCTATTTGGCCAAGGATGACCTTGAATTTCTGTTCCACCTTTGTTTCAATCCAAGTACTTGTATTACAGGGATGAACTACCACATTCCATTTTAGTGAAAGGACCCAGTATTTTATGCATCCAAGGCAACCACTGTACCAACTAAGTTACATCCCTAGAACAAAATTAGATTTTTCCAACAAATTCTGTTTTTATAAAAGGATGTGAAGGATTAGTTTGTGTAACCAGCTATACATCTGGCATTTCTACATGAACTATCATTTCACTGAAAAACCTTAGTAGTAATTACATCCCTTCATAGTCCACATCCTTTCATAGTATAACTACAAAGGAGCAGGAATAAATAGTCTGTCTGAATCCCTGGATCCTGGGTACACCTATTGCCTGATGCTATACAATTCAATTACAGTTCATATTAGTAAAATGTTGTTATAGTTTGCATCTGGAATATACTTCCCACCTTCAAAAAAGGCAAGGAAGGAAGGAAGGAAGGAAGGAAGGAAGGAAGGAAGGAAGGAAGGAAGGAAGGAAAGAAAGAAGAAAACTCATAAGTTCAAGCTTTTACTCCCAGTGTGATACTCTTAAAAGTTCTAAAAACATTTTAAGAAATGTTTTAGGAAAATAGGTGGAGCTTAAGATCATCATATTAAACAAAATAAGCCACGCAAGGAATAATGAATATGGTATGTTTTCTCTATGTAGAGAATCTTGATATCTAAACTTAAAATAAAAGACATGAAAGTCAATGGAGGTCTATTTGAAAAGGGAGGAAAGCTACAGGAGGGTCTATGAGGGAATGGATGGAGTACATGGGAAAGATAAACATCATTAAAGTTAATGGAATACATATATGAAAACGTCATAGTAAAACCCTCTGTTTCATAATTAAAAAGAAGTGCCCTCAGAAAGAGGTATTGGGAAAATGCCCTTGAAGAGTAGGTGGTATTCCAGCTCTTCCTGATCTCTCTTTGCTTCCTGTCTGCTCTAAGGTAAGCAGCTTTCCTCACTCCATCATGATTTGCTGACTAACCACAATCCCACAAGCACTAGCACAAACGCTATAGGCTGTGACCTGTGAAACTCTGACAACCAATCTTTTTTTAATTAAATTTTTATTTTTTTACATTAATTACATTGTATTCGTTTTGCATCCCAGCTGTAGCTCCCTCCCTCATTCCCTCCCAATCCCACTCTCCCTCCTTCATCTCCTCCCACGCCCTTCTCCAAGTCCAGCAATAGGGGAGGTCCACCTCCTCTTCCATCTGACCCTAGCTTATCAGGTCTCATCAGGACTGGCTTCAATGTCCTCCTCTGTGGCCTGGTAAGGCTCCTCCCCCAGGGGGAGTGGTCAAAGAGCCAGCCACTGAGTTCATGTCAGAGACAGTCCTTGTTCCCCTTACTAGGATACCCACTTGGACACTGAGTTGCCATGGGCTACATCTGAGCAGAGGTTCTAGGTTAGATCCATGAGTGTACCTTGGTTGGAGTATCCATCTCAGAAAATACCCCTGAGCCCAGATATTTTGGTTTGGTTGTTCTCCTTGTGGAGCTCCTGTAACTCTCCAGGTCTTACTAACTACCTCTTTTTTCATATGATTCCTTACACTTTGCCCAAAGCTTGGTTATGAGCGTCAGCATCTGACAAGCAATCTTTTTATGAGATGATTATTTAAGGCATCTTTTTACAGTAACAGAAAGTGAAGACGTATCGTACGTATTAAAAATGGTTAGATGGCTTACCCTGTTTTTAGTGTAGCGAGCTCTTCCTGAAGCTATTCCAAGTCTCTGAAAATAAGCTTCAAAATCACTTCCAGATCCCAGCTTATTGATTCTAGATATATAATATGAATAAGTAAATATATATATATACATAATAAAGAATACAAAGTTAAACAGATGGGGAAATGAATCCAGCTTCAAGAGTAGCTAGGAATTTGCATAGCGAATTAATATAAGAATTGTAAAAAGTTAAATAATCTTCAAGATATTGTTATTTCCCAGTATATTTATGTGACACGCTATAATGAAAATTACCAGAGTTTAGCAGTACTATGGAACACTGCAGCCTTTTTTTTTTTTAAAGAACAGAAACATTTGAACCTCTTAAAGAGCCATTTTTATAAGCCATCTCAAGTTGTTTATTGGAAGAGCCTACTATTTTTTTAATGACTAAGCATATGAAACTTTTATAATGGTGCAAACACAATTAAACTTCCATCTGACTGATTTGGGGACCAGCAAGATGGTTTAGAGAATAATGACACTTGCCAATAAGCCTGATAACCTGAGTTTGATCTTGGGACCCACAAGACAGAAGGAGGGAATTAAGGACAAGTTGTCCTCTGACCTCCACACAAGTACATTGGATCCCTACACATATGTAAATGGTGGGCAGCTTTATCTTCATGTAGATAAAGCTATTAAGTAGAGAGGGGGCTGTCAGTGACACAGACTCTGTTGCCTTATTGTTGATCATTCCCTCCTAGTGAGGCTGCCTTCCCGGGCCTCAGTAGATGAGGGTGAGCACAGTTTGTATGCAACTTGATGTGCTGGATGGGAGGGCTCCCCTTTTCTGAAGAGACAGAAAGAGGGGAGAGGGAGAAGAAAGTGGGAAGGTAGGATCATGAGGAGAGAAGATGGGCTACAAGATATAAAGTAAATTAAAAATAAATTTAAAAAAGAAGAATTAATCAAATAGAAAATAGATGATCAGGGCTCTGAGTTAAAATAGAAGATCTAGATGAAGCAGATTATATGAAAAACATATAAAAGACACAAAAAAGTCTCATACAGGATATGTGAGACACTATGGAAAGACTAAACCTTTGAATTACAGGAATAAAAGAGAGAGAAGATTCCTAGGTCAATAATATAGACCAACTGGCCTCTGTGAGTACACACATATACCCACACAGATACACATATACACTCATAATTTAAAAATAAAAATAATTTTTAAAAAATAAATAAGGTTGGGAATCAGTGGAAGATAGCCAGCATCAGGTTCTGGTCCCCACCAACACACACACACACACCCTACATACACAGCACATGCACAAATACACATTTATATGCACACATACACACATACACATCCATACACGTGAACACGCACAATACATTCATTGTTTACACTATGATCACATGAAGTTATATTATTTTTAAAGCATCTACTATATTTATGAAATTTTCATCAGAATGTCACATAATGACTAATCTATAACAAAATCACTGTACAACTTATTTATATTTATATGTGTGTGTCTGTCTGTATGTAAAAGGGTGCTCAGGAGCCCACAGAAGCCAGAAGAGGGTACTGGATGCCCTGCAGCTGGCTATGGTTGTAAGCAACATGACATGGGTGTTGGGAGCTGAACTTGGGTCCTCTGGTAGAAGAGCAAACACTCTTAATTGCTGAGCCATGTCTCAAGCCCCCCCATCAGTCTAATTGAAAATTTTCAAAATTATATTCATCTGTTTTATACACATTACACATTTTAAAAAGTGTCTGAGGTCTGGTGTGGTGGTGCACACCCTTAATCCCAGCACTTGGGAAGCAGAGGGAGGCAGATCACTGTGAGTTCAAGGCCATCTTGGTAAAAAAAAAAAAAAAAAAGTCTAGGGTAGCCAAGGCTCTGATACACAGACCCTCTCTTGAAAAAAATCAAATGAAAAAAAAATTTTTTTAATGTGTTTGAGCTTATTAGTAAGCAAAACAACAGCTGGCTGACAGCTTTATTAAATTTATTTAAATTATTGATGAGCTATCTGAGAAGCAAGGGAATCCATATTTGATATTTGTCCCAGGGTAGAAAAGAGTCATATACTATTTACCTAGGACAATCCTTATTCTCTGGTGAAGGGTCTTTCTGCAGCCAGCTTTCATAAAGTGATTGACTTTCAAAACCATCATCAGGGCTGGAGATCTAGAAAAACAAGCAGGGGCATCAGAAACTGAAGCAAGTGTATCAACTCTACATGCACATTAGCATCCACACCCATTCATATCTCTATTGTGTATATATATGTCATGTTCAATTACATAAAAATATATTGTGCAACTGATAAGAAAACAAAAAACCAGCCCAAATTCTTCTTCATTTATGATGACTGTTACTGGTAACTTTGACAATTACCTAAAAGGAAATTTCTTTTTCTTTTTCTTTTTTTTTTAACTGATGCCATCTTAAATAAAAGTTTTAAATTGTTTCAGGTAACAATACTTGAGAATATATATACACATATATTTTCTTTAACAAATTGCTTTTATCCAGCCAGAAGGATGCTACTATTGTTGGAAAAGAAATTAGTAGTAGTGAGTACTATTATCTAGATTTTTTTTTAAAGTATGCTTAAGTAAAGCTGCATTTTTTTTAATGTGAGAAAAGGGAAACCTATATACACTGGTACAGTTACCACAGAAATCAGTGTAGAGTTTTTTCAAAATTAAAAGTAGATCTGCATATTACTCAGCTATACCACTCCTGCATATATACCCCAAAAAACTAACAATAAACATACTAAAATCTTTAGTCCTAAAGAAGCTAAACAACAGGGAAGACCCTAGGGAAGATGCTCAATCCTCATTCATAAGGACAAACTGGATAGACATCGGAAGTAGAAGAAGACAAGGAACAGGACAGGAGCCTTCCACAGAAGACATCTGAAAGACTACCCACCAGGGTATCGAAGGAGAAACTGAGACTCATAGCCAGACTTTGGGCAGAATGCTAGAATCCTTATGGAAGAAGTGGGAGATAGAGACCTAGAGGGGACAGGAACTCCATAAGGAGAACAACAGAGCCAAAAAACCTTGGTTCGGGGGGTCCTGCAGAGACTGATACTCCAACAGAGGACCATGCATGGAGAGGACCTAGACCCTCCTTTTCAAAGGAAGCCCATAGGCTGCTCAGTTTCCAAGTAGGTTCCCTAGTTAGGGGTACAAGGACTGACTCTGACATGAACTCAGTGGCTGGCTCTTTGATCATCTCCTCCTGGGAGTGGTGCATCCTTGCTAGGCAACAGAAGAAGAAGATGCAGCCAACCTTCTTAAGACCTGATAAGCTAGGGTCAGATAGAAGGAGAGGAGGTCCTCCCTTATCAGAGGATAGGGAAAGGGCAGAGGGAGAGAAGAGGGAGGGTGAGTGGGAGATGAGGGAGGGAGCTTCAGTAGGGATACAACATGAATAAATTGTAATAAATAAATAAGTAGAATAGAATAGAATAGAATAGAATAGAATAGAATAGAATAGAATAGAATAGAATAGAATAGAATAGAATAGAATAGAATAGAATAAAAAACCAGTTGCACATTTCTGTTCATTCCTGCCCTCTTCACAGTAGCTAGGAAAAGAAATCAGACTAGATGTCCATCAACTGAAAAGTAGATAATGAAAATATGGCATATTTATACAACGTAATTTTACTTAGTACCAAAGAAAAATGAAATTTGTATGAAATAGGTAGAATTGGGGGTAAAATTATACTAAGTGAGGTATTTCAGTCCCAGAAATTCAAATGCCATGTGTTCTTCATTATATATTATCATATTTTTGAATTAATTTTGTATTTAACTTGGAATGTCTATAGAGAAAAGAAAATTATAAGGGATCATGGGAGCTAGAGAAGAGTTCTAAACATGGGTACATACTAGAACTGAGGTGAAATGAAAGTAGAAGGGAATATACTAGAATGGCAAAATTTAAGTGATGCATGTGGAGAGGATTAGTAATGCTGTAAAAAAAAAAAAAGACATGTGGAAGCCTACTATTCTACAAGCTAATTAAAAAGAATTATTTTTAATGAAAGGAGTCTTGGTGGTGAGATGTCTCAACAACCAAAAGCACTTGCCCCAAGTCTGATAGCTGAATGCAGCAGTCCCCAGAACCCACATGGTGGAAGAAGAAATCTGACTCCTGAAATTTACACACACGCACGCACAAGCAAGCGCGCACGCAAAAAGAGGTGAAGGCGGAGGGGAGGAGGGGAGGAGGGGAGGGGCACAGTTTTTAATATGGGCTGAGGAATAGCTCATCAGTTAAGAACTACTTGAGCCTCTTGCAGAGAATCCAGTCTCAGTTTCCAAAACTCGCGCAGTGCCTCACAACTTTCTGTAACTCCAATTCAGGGTTCTGTGGACACTGCATGCACATGATGTGCATACAGACGTTCAGAAAAAAAAAAAAAAACACTCATACACATAAAATGTTTTAAAATTGGGTAGAGTTCAAATGGAGATACCTCATATAAACAAGTGGATAATGCCAACCCCAGAAACCATGATGATCAAACCAAAATCTCACAGCTGAAAAGGGGAAGTGAACACAAACCCCCATCCTTAACCAAGAAGCTACCACCAGTTCATTTCCACTTACACAGGAAAACTTAGTCTTCTCCACTGGTGTCTCAGTGTGTATGTTAAAGATACTTAAGGGGAAGCCCCATGCCCAGCAGTAGATGGCTAACATAAACTGGATTCAGTATTTTTGTAAATTTTTTTTCTTATATTACTTTGTTTGGGCTTTATATTTTTTATTGTCTTATTGGTCTTTTGCTTGTATGTTATGATTTTGTGTTTTTATAGATTTTGTTCTGTGTGTGCTTTTTTGTTTTCATTTTTTTTGTTTTATTTATTTGTTTGCTAACTTATTTTTTTAAAGAGAGAGAGAGCAAAGGCATTAGAATTGGAGGTGGCGAGATCCTGGTGTAGTTTGGAACAGGAAAACTGTGATCAGAATATATTCCATGAAAAAAATATTTTCAATTGAAGAAGAAGAAGAAGAAGAAGAAGAAGAAGAAGAAGAAGAAGAAGAAGAAGAAGAAGAAGAAGAAGAAGAAGAAGAAGAAGATTCCTGTGCTAAGAGCAGGATTCCTCCCTATGGGTTTTTGGTCCTCACCCTAGCAACACAGGTTATTAGTGTCACTTTTGGTTGCTGTTTTAGTTACTTTGTTGCTGTGACAAAGCATCATGACCAAGCCAACTGATAGAAGAAAGTCTACTCTGATGTAGAGTTTCAGAGAGGCAAGAGACTATTTTTGCGGGGAAGTATGGCAGCTGGAGTAGAAGCAGCAAGTGCACATCTTGAACAGAAAGCCTGAAACAGAGAAAGCAACCTGGGAGAAGGGCAAGACTGTACACTCTCTAAGCCCTTTGTCACTAATACATTTCCTCCAGAAAAGCCACACCTCCTAACCTCCTCCCACAGTCATTGCCACCAACTGGGAAAAAGAGTATTCAAATGCCAGACATTATGAGGAACATTTCTCAAACTAACATGGCTGCCCATGAGAATTATGGACAGCCCTCCTGCTGACCTATTGGTATGGTGACTTTTGTCAAACCTGTAATTAATTTGTTTGCTTGTTTGGTTGGTTGGTTGGTTGGTTGAATTTTTTCTTTTTTGGTAATTTAACATAGTGTCAGACTACTTTCTAAATATTTATATTTATACCCTTAGACAAATACTACTCTAAACCTTGATCAGGGAAGCTTTTCTCTGCAGGAAATGGCTGATTAAAGTTCTGAGAATATGTGGCTATTGAGTGTTTACCCTAAAGCAGGATATTTATATTCCCACTGCAAGATTCAGGGAACATTGTACAAGATGGCACAGAATGAATATAAAAGCTGATTATAAAAAGAAGGGATCCGTGCTGACTAATTTTATGGCAACTTGACATAAGCTAGAGTCATCTGATGGACGGGAACCCCAATCTAGAAAAAGTCTTCACAAGAATGGGTTATAGGAAAGCCTGTAGAGAACTTTCTTAATTAATGATTGATGTAGGAGGGCCCAGCCCATCATGGGTGGGGACCCCGTGGGCTGATGATCCTAGGTTCTACAAGAAAGCAAGCTGAACAAGCCATGGAGAACACTCTAATAAAAGTTGCACCTCTCATGGGCTCTTCATCGGCATCTACCTCCAGGTTTCTGCCCTGTTTGAGTGCCTGTCCTCCACGGAAAGGAGATGGCTATTTATGTATGCAAAGAGACGAGGATTCACTATCTTTATTTCTGTACCTACTTGTAATCCCAACAAGCTCCAGTGGTTGTTTTCAGAACATTCATAAGGACATCCCTGCTTAAAAATTCAAAGAAACATTAATGTAAGGAATCTTTTAACTGCCTTAACTTCTTCCACCAGATGCACTACCGGCATTAGCAGTATTGTGCTCTATTTCTTGCTGAGTCAGGCAACAGCTTTTCTTTACCTTGATTATTTGACTTATTAGATGTTGTGGTTTGAATAAGAATACCCCCACAGGCTCATATATTTCAATGGTTGGTCCCTAGTTGGTGAAACTGTTTAAGAAGTGGGTATGGCCTTGTTGGAGTAGGTATCTCATTGGCTATGCCATTTCTAGCTAGTGCTCCCTCTACTGTGTACTTGCAGGTAAGGATGTAAGCTCTTAGCTACTGCTCCAGCCTTTCTGCTGCCGCGATGGTCACAGACTCACCCTCTAAAACTCTAAGCCCCCAATAAACTCTTTCTTCTATAAGTTTCTTTGGTCATGGCGTCTCTTTAAGGCAATAGAAAAGTAACTAAGACACAAGGGATGGTAGAAATTTTAATAATTAGTTTACAGGAAAGTGAAAGAGCCACTTTAGTTCCCAGGGTCTTTATATGACCATAGATAATAAGCACATGTCTTTGCACAAGGTTTGCAAATAAAAACTTCTCCTACCTACTGGTTCCAAAGTTCTTATCACTTTCGATATCAAAGGAAGCAGTCATTTTTCTGTCACAGCACAGGACAGAGCATAAAAACATATCTGAAGTATTGCCCTATAAAGATTCCCTTTACACTTACTTTTAGGAAAGATAATATTGCAAGACATTGTTATAAAAGAACAAGGAAATAAGTTTAATCAAGAAGGTAAGGATACCATCAAGTGGGAAAAGATAGCACTTAGGTTTGAGAGAAAAAAAAGGCCTGCTTTTAGAGATACTAGCAGGTAGGGTAAGATTAAAAAGATTAAGAAACAGAGTCCATGTCAGAGACTGTGTTGCCCACTCTTTGATCACTTCCCCTTGGGGTGGGGGGAATTGCCAGGCCACAGAGGAAGAAGATGCAGGCAGTCCTAATGAGACCGGATAGGCTGGGGTCAGATGGTAGCAGAGGAGGACCTCCCCTTTCTGAGATACAGGGGAGGGGAAGACAGAGGGAAGATGGGACTGGGAGGAGATGAGGGAGGGGAGGGGGCTAAAATCAAGGAGTAAAGTGAATATAAAAAAGAAATTTTAATTTTAAAAAAGATTAGGAAATAGAATCTGCATTAAAATGGCACTGTCTCACTTTTCACTAAGATTGACTTTAAAGCAGCAAACATTTCTGTAATTATATTCTTTTGTTTTAAATATTCATTTTATTTTTATTGATGTGATTTTGGGGGGTTGGTTTATCTCTGTCTCTCCCTTTGTCTTTCTCTTTCTGTCTCTCTCTGTCTCTACCTCCCTGCCTCTCTGTCTTGTCTTTCTCTTTCTCTTTCTGTCTCTCTCTGTCTCTACCTCCCTGCCTCTCTGTCTTGAGTGTGTGTGCCTATGTACCACATGTGTTAAGGTGCCTAAGGAAGTATAAAGGGTGTCAGATCCCTTGGAGCTGGAATTACAGGCAATTGTAAAACATGTGATGTGCGTGCTGGGAACCAAACGCAAGTCTTCTGGAAAATTAGCAAGTGCTCTTAACCACGGAGATCCTCTCCAGTACCTCTGTAAGTAAATTCAAATGAAGGGTACACATATTGTGAGTACATTATCTGATTTTATTTTGAGACTCAATGTGCTTTACTTCTCAAGAGTATTTAACGTATAATTAGTTTAATGTTTATAGTGTTTTTGTGTAACCACCACTTGGAGATTTCCTACCCTTTTGCCTTTGACTAATTGCTGTTCATTCTACTCACTATCTTGACACTCAGTAACTGTCTGGTTATAAAGCCCAATGACTTCTGCACTGCCAATTTCGGAATTCCTTGGCTTATTTTTAATACTTAATTTCTTGGCATCCTCACAGCTATGCCACATGGTAAGTTGCATATTACAAATTTTGTTTTAGTTGCTACTTACTTGACTCATCAACGTTTTGATATCAATTTAAAAATATGTGCAGATCTGTTATCCATTCATCATAAAATAGTAAGCCAGGTATTGTCATTTACCTCTCTTGCCACTTTATAGACCAGTTGGTAAAGAAGAGGAGTACAGTCAACTCGGAGAGTGTAATTGCCTGAGGAATAAGCCAAATATAAAAGTCTTATTTAAACTGCCGCATGAAATACATCCATGTTTAATTGCAACTTTCTGTTTCAGTTACAGTGGAGCAGTCTTTAATTGAAAATGCATCTGAGGAGTGGAAGGGGTTGCAGTGTAATGTTCAAGCTGATAGAGAAATGGTGGACTCTGGTGGCTGAGGTAGTAGCTCCCACAGCCGTCAGCCAATTTTCTGTGTAGCAACATTTCTCGGAGGACAATGTCAAAGAAAGCATTAAGACGACAGAACTCATTCTTTAATTTGATTCAGTAATTTAGATCAATATTTAAACAATAGTATGCATGTTGTCTTCAGGAACAATGAATAAAAATGTATCAGAAATCTAGAGGTAAATACAATGTGTCAATTCAAAAAGATTTCCAATAAACAGGGAATTTTTTCAAGAAAATATTTATGACTAAAATATTTCTGTATGAGATAGACTGTTTTGAAATATTCTAGCCAAAGTTCTCTAATTCCTCCACAAAAAAAAGTGTGGTGAATATTAGCGGCTTAAGTGGCAATCCCAGACAAGCAAATACAAAACAAAGATAGAGAAGGACAAAGAAAAAGACTCATAGAACAGTTGCATGTCACAATGATTGATATGAATTATTTTTCCTGTGGTAGAACTAAAGACTAAGCTGTTACTTAATAGTCTTGTCTACACAAAAAAAAATTGAGATAATATTAATGTAAATTTACTGACTTAAAAATTATTAAACAAACAAACAAACAACTGGCCAGGTGCTATAGTACACTTCTGTAATTCCAAGTGCTTGGGAGGTAGAAATGGAAAGATAGGTTGTTCAAGGTCTCATGGCCACAAACATGTTTGCTGCCACCCATGAGACTCTTGTCTCAAGAAAGAAAGAAAGAAAAAAAGACCAAACCAAAAAAAAATCATATACTAACATACATACATACATAGAATTTACTTTTTGAATATTGTTCATTTCAAAATGAAATAAGATGTACCTTCTATAGATGAATCTGAGTTGATATAAGCAACGCTTCTCTCCTGTAGGATCTTTGCATTCTCCTGCAGTTGAAGCAAAATTGTTAATTCACAGTACTGCTATGAAAATATAAACAAAGTAACCACAATAATCTCTTGAAAAAAAAATGGCCTGTGATGTTTATAAGTCAAGCACAGTATCTGCCTGTAACCACAATTTTAAAGGAAGTTCTAACTGCTTAGTTGATGATAGCAAATAATAATAATAATAATAATAATAATAATAATAATAATAAAATGATAGTATTATGAAAGCAAAAGGCCCAGGAAAAAATATTTTCAGCTGTGATTCCTTGATTCTCCTGGGAGAAAGGCATTTTTTAAAACTATACACATACATGCATACCTTACTTTAGAACACACCAATAAAATTTATATTTATATGTGATAAACATTGTAGAGAAAGCAAGTATCACAAACCATTTCTAATTTTATGAAGACATCTATGCCCACTTTAAACATGTAAGAACTTAGACATTACCAACAGAGGAGAACTGGAAAGAAGAAAGAAGATGCCTAGGAAAGGCTCTTTAAGAGTTAAGAAGCTGTAAGAAATACAAAAAAGACACCACTGTGAAATAGCATGTTAAGATAATTCATAATGAGATTTAATTTACAGTATTATCATTTCATGGTCAACAACCACGTAACTGTTATGAAAGTAAAATAAATTAACGGCTTGCAGATTCTGATTATTTTCTAAGTTTACTGATTTTGTTTTCACAACGCAAATACAAAAAAAAAATAATAATAACGTTTTGATAATAAACAGTGTTAGCCTAAAGAGTTACTCTACTTTGCCAAACAGATGTGAGAATAAAAGTCAAATTCTATGTCCTAAATTTTCTCGAGTGGTTCTCTGTAGGTAAGGGAATCTATACAATATCGTAACAAGCACCTTCCCTGTTACTTACTTCAGCCCACTCCGTTGAACCCAGCAGTCCAAACTCCTCTGCATCCCAGCTGGCAAAGATGATGGTTCTCCTAGGTCTCCAGCCTGCAGCCATATTAGTGTACCTGGTTAGCTACACCTGCCTATAGCTACAGAACTATTAAGCAAATGACTTTCAGTTAACAGCAACCAGAGAAATGTTAGTTACCTCCATTCAGCAGTTTTCCAAAACTTTGCGCAATCTCTTGTAAAACTGCTGTCCCAGTGGTTGGGTCAATCCCTCCAAACACCCAGGAGTCACGATGACCTCCCAAAATGACATACCTATCTGGACAAGAATGTGTTCAAGAAAGCTTCAACTTGCATACAGTACAGGCACTTGTTGTTTATGTATTTAAACGTTCTCCTTCACAAGTTTTCTCCAGAGAAGACAACCAACAGTGTAAAGTAAAATCTTTTAGAGTGGGAATATCCTTCCCCTGAATTTCAGGTTCAAATACTTTTCAGCCAGAAAACTATGTTATTGACAGAATTTCAGCTTTACTTAATCTTTGTTAAAAGAAAATGTTTTTAAAATTTTAATGACTCACCAGGTTCTATAGACCCTCTGATAGTTCCAATTACATTGTAAATTCTTGTGATTTTGTTTATGTTATTAACATGCATTTTAACTTTCCTAGAATTTTGAAAAATAATAAGTTAGTTCATATGAAGCATTATATTTAGTTTTATTTAACATTTTTTTAAATTTTGTATTAATTACACTTTATTCATATTGTATCCCCCCATAAGTTCCTCCCTCCTCCCCTCCCAATCCCATCCTCCCTCCCCTTTCTGCATGCACGCCACTCCCCAAGTCCACTGATAGAGGAGGTTCTCCTCTCCTTTCTGATCTTAGTCTATCAGTTCTCATCAAAAGTGGCTGCATTGTCCTCTACTGTGGCCTGGTAAGGCTTCTCCCCCCTCAGGGGAAGGTGATCAACGAGCAGGCCAATCAGATTATGTCAGAGGCAGTCCCTCTTCCCATTACTATGTAACCCACTTGGACACTGAACTGCCATGGGCTACATCTGTACAGGGGTTCTAGGTTATCTCCACGAATAGTCCTTGGTTGGAGTACGAGTCTCTGGGAAGTTCCCTGTGTTCAAATTATCTTGTTCTGTTGCTCTCCTTGTGGAGTTCCCGTCCCCTCCAGCTCTTACTATTTCCCACTTCTTACATAAAATTCCATTTTATTGAAAAATTCTAAAACTACAGAAAGCTGTACAAGAGGACAGTGAATTCTCATATCTCTGCCACCTCAATAATTGCCACAATTTCTTCTTATGTATGTAGACATGTACCTTAAAGTCAACTTAAAAAATAACAATATTTTATATTTTTCTTTATAACTATATTACTAATTCTTACTGCTAACTCAAAATATTCTATTAAATGCCTTAATGTATTTTTTTAAACTTTATACTCTCACTATACAGGAATGACAGTTTGTTGTGTAATAACTGAAAAGATAAATCTATTCTTTGCACATTTGTTTTTATAAATTCCTGCATGGTGATGTTTAAATAGATAACAGATCACATATATTATGGTGCCCCTAAGAGTGCAAAGGAATTAAGAGGATCTATTCACACTGATGCAGCTAGGATGTCATAGTATAATGCACTGCTTACATATTTGTGATACTACTAATGTAAACAGACACTGTATTGACAGTCATTAATCTAGAGCAATGCGGTCACACACAATGCATAGCATAATTTCATTGTCCCAGTGTGCTCCTACCAGCTAAAAGAGTTTCCCCTAAGACAGAATGCCATGTTGGGCCAACAGTAGACTCATTCTTCTTGTTTACAGCCTCGCTGAGTGGCATCAAGAGGCCACATTCAGTAACCAATTAACCATTGGTGTGGATGTAAGTACACTCTGAGGTTCCAACAAAAAAACACTAAATACATCTTACTGTAAAAGTGACATGTGATTCTATTTACAGCAGTTTCCTGTACAATAACTTTCTTCATGACTGTGAAAGTAGTCTGTATATAGTATTTAAAATTGCCCTGAGCACTGTCTGAAAAGTATGATAAATTCTATTGTTAAGCAAGAATTTGGAAAGTTGTGCTAAGTGAACACTTACATAGTCAGACTTCCCTGGGCTATCCATTTTGATTCTGACTTGGGCTGATCTATCGTTCACGAATATAACCAATTTTAAGGCAAAGGTAAATTCAGTCAAATGTAGCCATACTACCTCCAACCTACAAGCCATACACACACTATGTCCCAGAATAACATACATAAACATAGGTTGTTTTTCCACAGGAACAAAAAACAAGCCTTTATTTATTCTGGATATAGAAAGATATATAATCATGGATAATTTGTTATCCATGATTAATTAATGAAAGAAATAAGTCAGCTGCCCAACTTGTATGATGTGAAGTGCAGATTAGTCCATCTTCCTAATATTTTCTAAATACATAATTAATCATAATCATAATTAATGCATAAGTCAACTAAAATTTTCCTTAATATATATATATACATATATATATACTTATATATCAACTCCTTGAATATTCATTTGAACCAATTTTAGGACCAACTCCTAGCTCTTTTATTAACTAACAAATTTAATGATATATAGAATAAATTCTCATTTCATACATGTCTAAAAGTTATTTCTTTAAATTATTCTTTATCAGTTTTGAAAGTCCCTCTGTATGTGCCGTAGCTTCATATTGAAGAAACATTATGGGCAGTTAAAAATCCATATTTTACGTATCTGTATGCCTCATTTTAATTTTGCTCTGTTGATTTTGTGTTTATTTGTACTTTTGCTTTTCTTAGGGAAGACTGAATTATTCTTATTGATGCAAGCAACATGAATTAGGTTTATGTCTTCTTATTTGATAGTATCTCTAAATGGACAAAAATTGTCAAGATCCCTGTGAGGTGAAGAAGAAAGAGACTTTGAGGGTTTGTTATTGTTTACTAAGTATCTATCCATTTTGAACTCAAATAGCAGCAATGAAAGAGAACAGTGTTAGATAGTCATATTCTACACAAGTGTGTGTGTGTGTGTGTGTGTGTGTGTGTGTGTGGTAAAAGTAGTCTGTCAGCCAACATGAGTACTGGCAACTGAACTATGAGAGCTCTTACCTGGCAAGTAATCTTTCCACACCACCTAGTAAACGCAGAGAAATTATGGATGTATTTTCTCCATGTTTGTCTGTTTCTGCTTGTAAATTATATTTTTTAATGTCTTTATCGTGTGCAATTATGTTATCTTTCCCTCACTCTAGAGGATATTTAAACTTTTAATTAAAAGAACAGTGTTCTGGCCATTCTGATGAAGAAGAAAACAGGAAACAAGTTAGGAACCTGCCACAGAGGGCCTCTGAAAGGCTCTGCCCTGCAGACTACCAAAGCAGATGCTGAGACTTATGGCCAACTGTTGGGCAGAGTGCATGGAATCTTATGAAAAAAGTGGGAAATAGCAAGATCTGGAGAGAACAGGAGCTCCACAAGGAGAGCAACAGAACCAGAAAATTTGAACACAAGGGTCTTCCTAGAGACTCATACTCCAACCAAGTACGAGGCATGGAGATAACCTAGAACCCCTGCACAGATGTAGCCCATGGCAGTTTAGTGTCCAAGTGGGTTCCATAGTAATGGAACTAATTGGCCTGCTCTTTGATCACCTCACCCTGAGGGGGGAGCAGCCTTACCAGGCCACAGAAGATGACAATGCAGCCACTTCTGATGAGAACTAATAGACTAAGATCAGAAAGAAGGAGAGGAGAACCTCCCCTATCAGTGGACTTGGGGAGGGGCATGCGTGAAGAAGGAGGAGGGAGGGTGGGACTGGGAGGGGAGGAGGGAGGGGCTTATGGGGGGATACAAAGTGAATAAAGTGTAACTAATAAAAGTTAAAAAACTAATAAAAAAAGAAAATAGAAACAAAAAGAACAGTGTTCTGACTGAAATATGATGATTATTACCTCCATATGTAGCTCATTTTAAGATTCCTATAAAAATTTTAAAAACTTTCACTTTAAATATTCTGGAAAAAAAAACAAATCGTAAGAATAGAAACATGTCCTGAGTATCAAAGCTCACATACATAAGCAAGACTGACTGACCAATGTGGGTTTAAAAAAATAAACAGCTATATCTTTGCTGCTTTATCTGCACTAACATTTCCCTTCCCCCAATCTTTCAGGTACATCAAACTTCCTACCATACCTGTGTTTCCACAACTACACTGCCTGCCTTCTTTCACTCAGCTCAAAGAGCACATATGGGGCTGGAGAGATGGCTCAGGGGTTAAGAGCACTGTTTGTTCTTCCAGAGGTCCGGAGTTCAATTTCCCAGCAACCACATGGTGGTTTACAACCATCTATAATGAGATCTGGTGCCCTCTACTGGCCTACAGGTGTACATGCAGGCAGAACATTGTGTACATAATAATTTTTTAAAAAGGCACATATGATCCCTCCTCTACAACAGTCTTGTGTAAAAATGATACTAATTATAGCTGGCCAATGGTGGTGCACACCTTTAATGGCAGCAATTGGGAGGCAGAATTAGGAAGATCCCTGAATTCAAGGCCAGCCGGGCCTATAGAACAAGTTCTAGGACAGACAAGACTACACAGAGGTTTTCAAGCCTGAGTTAAAAACCAAAAAATGAAAAAAAAAATAAAAGAAATGCTAATTATGATTATACATTTATTGAGAATTGTTGTAGAACATGGTGTCCTCATTTTACCCTATTTATGTCACGAGGAAAGGATAAAAAATGAATGATTCCTTTCTCTCTGCTGCTTTTTACCCATTGTAAATGTTACTAGGAAATTTGATTCAAATTTTGAGTTAAAGTTGGGCATGGTGGAACACACCTGTAATTCCGGAACTCTGGAAGGCAGAGGCAGGTAGATTTTTGTGAGTTTGAGACCAGCCTGGTCTACAAAGTCCAGGACAGCCTGGAGAAATGTTGTCTTAAAAAAAGAAAAAGAAAAAGAAAAAGAAAGAAAGAAAGAAAGAAAGGAAGGAAGGAAGGAAGGAAGGAAGGAAGGAAGGAAGGAAGGAAGAAATTTGAGTTTAAAATACCACTTGAAATGTTATAAGACTAATAGTAATATTTCATCTAGTATTATGTCACCACTGAAGAATTCAAAAGTTCATTCTGTAATTCCTTCTGAATTGATATAAAATGATTCTTTGCTCACTAGTGACAAAGAAAGAAGAGAAAGGTATTCTTTTCCTAGCAGAATATTATCTTAACATTTTCCTGTTTAGAAAAATGAACAAACAAACTTTCCCAGGTTATTAAAGAATTACAAAATTACCTGGAATATTCACTTCCTGTAAATCCAGGCCCAATATTGTAACTAACATTTAGTGTTCCCTTCCAGCTTTTGTCTGGTGGAGCAGTTCCTCCCAAGTTGCTGTGAAGAGTACATGAAACAACAACAGAAAAGGTTAACCTTGAAGAAATAATAAGATTGATAGTGGTACTATATATGTAGGAATTATTGACAGAAAGGGTCCTCATGGAGCTTTCATTCTGGAAAGTCATAGGAGGCATCTATAAAAAAATTTAGTTATGCTGGTACAGACATTTAGGAAATGGAAGTTGGGAAACAGGCAATGAAATGCAGATAACACTACCAGCAAATATTGACTCCATGCTCACTCTACCGTTTACTGCCCTCTGCTGTGATTTGGGGTGAAACAGTACTGTTCTATCACAGATAAATAGCTAATGAATATGTACAGAATTCAAAGTATTTAATTGTTTTCATATCAGTGCTGATTTTAATCTTTGGACAGAGTTTCATATTTGAGGATTGCATTTGAGTAGAGAAATGTTTTGTTATTTTTCTTATTAGTTAAGCTGATTGTTCTTCTCACGAAAACAGTGTTCCTACTTCAGAACTTAGTTTGATATGTTACTGCTAACATAATTGACTTATAGAGCAGAAAATGGACATTGTAGGTCAAAATACATTCATATCCAACTAAAGGACTATACCGTAATAGTATCTCTGCATCTTTATATCCAATCGGATGTACGGGAATGTTCGGAATCCCCACTCCTTCCTCAACATGAAGTCTGAAGGTGTACTCTGCAATAACCAAGTATACACGTGAAAACCATTAAAGAACATGATTGAGGGCAAGATTATGCAAGAATTTCTTTTATTATTATTACAGCTGTGTTATATGTTTGCAATTAAAGGTTACCAAAAAGTAAGACTTTTATTGAAACTGGTTTATTTGAGTCAGCAGTAAATAAATAAATAAATAAATAGATAAATAAATAAATAAATAAATAAGTCGTTTACATTATAAGGTAAAATAAAATCATTGAGATTATAGATTTTTAATCTAACCATCTTAAATAATTGTCTTAAACGTTCTAAGATTATTTTCTTTGCTCAAAAGACATTGTGAATTACTATAATGGAAACCCAGCAAACTTGGAAAATGTGCCTAAATATTCTAAAGCCACATACAGTGAGGAAAACCCAGAACAGTTGTGATCTTAAAAAATAATTAATTTACCCAAATAATAAGACAATATTTTCTTCAAAGGAAGATTGGAGGTGCTGTGGGACTGATAGTCATTTAGGCCTAGCTATCAGGCAAGACAGACTAACAAGAAAACCTTCATGTTCATATCTGAATCAACTAAAATCTGACAAGATTTAAAACAACAATTCTAAGGGTTTTTCTTATTAACTACTTTTATAATTGCTTGTTAAAAGAAAAAGTTTAACAATAAAATTATGAAAAGAAATCAACAAGTATACTAACTTGATTGACCAGACATTCATAGAACAGCACATCTCAATATAGCAGAACTTATTTCATGATTAGGTGAGTGGAGACATGTAATCAATAGACTATATTGTGGGCAATAAAACATATTTCATTAAATATAAAAAATCATACAAAGTATATTGTTTGACAATAGTAGAATTAGGAATCAATATTGAAAAAGCAAACTCCAAAATTCTTGAGCAATTAAATATCAAACAAGGCAATTCCCTGCTAACCCACAAAAAACAGGTAGACTGCCCATAGACTCTCTTCTTCTCTTCTCTCAGTTCCAACCCCTCAGTCTCATCCACAGCTCTACAGGAGAACACCCTTGGCAGCCCAGCCCTACCCTACACCATCTCCTGTGGATCCCACAGTTCTCCTCCCTTCTTACCTTCCTCCCCTCCACTCATTGCTTTGTCCCAGATTCCAACCCCAGCAGGCACTCCCTGCTAACCAAGGGACCTTTTCCCTCCAAAGCAACAGTAGTCTGAAGGCAAATCCACACCTATCCTGCCGCTCCTGAGATCCATCCATCTCCTGCCCCAGTCTCATTCCTAGCTCTGTAGCAGGACACTCACAGCAGTCTTCCTTTCCTCTTTGGCCCCAGCCCACTGGAGCACATAGATCCACCCTCAACCAGCCCTCCCCATTACCCCAGCATCCAACACTAGCAGGCATTCCCTGGGAACACACCAGCCTAGCAGAACAAGGAAACAGCCACCAACTGAAGCCCAAGCTAACACACACTGGCCATCCCTGCCAGAAAACCAGGTAAGCTCCCTGCAGACTTTCTCTTCTCTCTCTGTTCCTCCAGATCCAACCCAAGTCTCAACCCCAGCTCAGCAACAGAAGCCTTGACAACCCCCTTCCCCGATCTCTCGATCACCTCTCTACCCACCCCTCCGCTGCTCTCAACTCCTGAAAAGCCCTCAGATCTTCCACCTTCTAACCTTGCTTCCTCTACTGGTTGCTGTTTCCCTGCCCCCAACTCAAGAAGGCTCTCTCTGCTAATGCACAGGCCACACCCTCCCAAAACCCATGTAGGCATCTTTCTGACCTTCCTTCTCTGTGCTCCCCCAGATACAATCCCAAGTCTCCTCTTCGGCTCTGCAGCAGAACGACCATGGTAGCCTTCACTGCTGCCCTTCTCCCTTGCTCCCACTCCTGTGAAGCACAACAGATCTTCCATTTCTAACTTCCTTCCATTCCTTGCTTTCGTTCCTACCCCGCAAATCCAGTAGGCACTCCATGTTACCCCACAGGTCAAGCCTGCCAGAAAACCAAGTGGGCTGCCTACAGATTTTCTCTTTGTTCTCTGTTCCCCGAGTTCCAATCTCCAGTCTCATCCTTGGCAGCCTCTTCCAACACCTGCTCCCATCTCCTGTGGATCTCAAAGTTCTTATGCCTTCTACCATTTTTCCTCAACTTGTTTCTCAGTCTCATTCCCAACCCCAGCAGGCACACTCTCCTAACCCAAGGGGTTCTCCTTCCAGGACAAGTACCCTGAAGGCAGACCCACACCTCTCCAACTGCTCCTGATATCTAATACCCCCAGTTTCATCCCGAGACCTGAGGAGAAAATTTGTTGTGGTCTCCCTTTTTTACTGACCCCATCTCCAAGCAATCACAAAGATCTTGTCCTTGAACCTTCTTTCCCCAACTCATCCCAGTATCAGTCCCTAATATCAACTGGCATTTCTGGTGACCACACAAGATGAGAAGGCCAGGAGAACACAGAATACACAGCAATCACAGTTTCTCGAAGTATAAGGAGGAAACAGAAGTTAAGGAACAAAACACTCACCCAACAAAAACAAATCTAGAAATCAGCACCCAGACCTATAATCACCCCAAATGCAGATGCCCAGATGTCAGCGTGAAAACACAGTAACACCCAGGACAATATGTCTCAACTAGAGCCCAGCTATCTTACCAGAGAAGTCCCTGAATATTCCAACATAGCTAAAGCACAAGAAAAATACCTTGAAACCAACGTTTTAGATACTTGAAGATGATACAGATGTTCTGAAGATGATAGAAGTCCTTAAAGAAATCCAGGAAAACACAAACAGTATGAGGAAGTGAATAAATTATTTAAAGAAGCTCAAGAACAAAGGGCTGAAGGAAAAAAAAAAGTAAAACTGTTCAAGATCTGAAAATAGAAATAGAGTTAATAAAGAAAACACAAACTGAGGGAATTCTGGAAATAAAACATTTAGGAATTTGAACAGGAACTACAGAGGAAAACTTCACCAACAGATTACAAGAGATGGAAGAGAGAATGTCAGGCATTGAAGATACCATAGAAGAAATAGAAACACTGATCAAAAAAAAAAAATTGAATCTAAAAATCTCCTGACACAAAATATCCACAAAATCTGGGACACTATGTAAAGGACAAATCTACGAATAATAGGAATAGAGAAGGGAGAAGAATCATGGCTCAAAGACCCAGAAAATATTTTTAACAAAATCATAGAAGAAAAATTTTCTAACCTAAAGAAGGAGATGCCTATAAAGGTACAAGAGTCATAATGAACACCCAAAAGATAGGGCCAGAAAAGTCCCCTCACCACATAATAATCAAGACACTAAACATATGAAACAAACAACAACAACAAAAGAATATTAAAAGTATCAGAAGAAAAAAAGACTAAGTAAAAAAACACAAGCAGACCTATCAGAATTACACCTCACTTCTCAATGGAGACTCGAAGGCTAGAAGGGCCTGGAAAATGTGCTATAGACATTAAGAGACCACAGATGACAGCCTAGAATACTACACCCATCAAATTTTTCAGTCCAATCTCCAATCAATGGACAAATGAGATACTTCATGAAAAAGTCAAATTTAAAAAGTATCCTTCCACAAATCCAGCACTGTAAAAGATGGAAGGGAAAGTTCAAATCAAGTAGGTTAACTACACACATGAAAACACAAGACATAAATAATCTTATACCAGCAAAACCAAAAGAAGGGAAACACACCACCACTAACAATAACAAAATAACAAGAATCAACAATCATTGGTCATTGATATCTCTCAATATTAATGTCTCAATTATGCAATAAAAAGACACAGACTAACTGAATGGATATGAATACAAAATCCATCCTTCTAGTGCATCCAAGAAACACACCTGAACATCAAGAATAAACATTACCTCAGAGTAAAGTGTTAAAAAGATTTTCAAGCAAATGACGTTAAGAACCAAGCTAGTGTAGCCATTTTAATATCTGACAAAATAGACTTCAGACCCAAACTAGTCAAAAGAGATGGAGAAGAACAGTAAATACTCCTCAAAGTAAAATCTACCAAGATCTACCATGATGAATTCTTTTTATTTTTTATTTTTTAGAGAACATACGAATAATTGCTTTTTTAAATTTTTATTAATTACAGTTTATTCACTTTGTATCTCCCTGTAGCCCCCTCCTTCATTCCCTCCCTATCCCACCCACCCTCCCTCTTTCCTATGCCCCTCCCCCAGTCCAATGATAGGGGAGGACCTCCTCCCCTTCCATCTGTCCCCAGTCTATCAGGTCTCATCAGGACTGGCTTCTTTGTCTCCCTCTGTGGACTGGTAAGGCTGCTCCCTCCTCAGGTGGAGGTGATCAAAGAGCCAACCCATGAGTTCATGTCAGAATGGGTCCCTGTTCCTATTACTTTGGCACCCCCTTGCACACTGAGATGCCATGGGCTACTTCTGTGCAGGGGTTCTAGGTTATCTCCATGTATGGTCCTTGTTTGAAGTACATGATGAATTCTTAATGTCAATGCCCCAAACACAAGAGCACACAAGTTTGTTTTAAAGCACACACACACACACACACACACATACACACACACACAACTACTCCTACTACAGTTTAAATCACATATTAACCCATATACCCTAGCAGTGGGAGGCTTCAGTACCCCACTCTCATAAATGGGCAGGTCATCCAGACAAAAAATAAACAGAAATATTGGAGCTAACAGACAGTATAAATCATATGGACATAGCAGATAGTTACAGAAGATTTCACCCAAACCAAAAGAATATACATTCTTCTCTGTGCCTCATGAAACTTTTTTCCAAAACTAAACACATACTCAGACACAAAGCAAGTCTCAACAGATAAAGAAAAATTGAAATAACTCTCTGGATCCTACTAGACTACATGGATTACAGATAGTTATCAACAACAACAAAAATCTTACAAACTCATGTAAACCAAACACCTCCTTACTGAATGAAAAATGGGTCAAGACAGAAATAAAGAAATTAAAGCCTTACTAAAGTTCATTGAAAAGGAATATACAACATACCCAAACTTATGAGACACAATGAAAGTGGTGCTAAGAGGAAAGTTCATAGCCCTAAGTACCTAGGTAAAAAATTAGAGAAATCTCAAACCAGCAACTTAATAACACACCTGAAAGTTTCAGAAATAAACACATCTAAGAGGAGTACATGGCAATCAAACTGAAGACTAAAATCAATAAACTAGTAATAAAGAGAATAATACAAAGAATCAATGAAACAGAAAGTTTGTTCTTAGAGAACATCAACAAGGTAGACAAATCCTTATCCAAACTAATTAAAAGGCAGGATATTAGCCATTAAGTAAATAATAATCAAGCTACAGTCCATATACCCAGAGATGTTAGGTAAAGAGGGAAGGTCTAGGCTGAACACATGGATCTCCCTAAGAGGGGGAAATAGAACAGATTTTTCCAAGATTTCAGCATCACTCTGGTATCATGGCACAAAAATACAAGAAGGTGTCGATACAATTATGACCATAAGCAATAAAAATTCTCAAAGAAAATTTAGCCCAAATCCAATAACATTTTTTAAATCACAATACATTATGACAAACCAAATATGGTTTCTATACTTGGCTTAATATAAGATTTGAAGTTGCTTTAGAATTCACAAAAAAATCAGTATCCTATAACAAAAGTATCAATATCAATATCAACAGTATCAATATCTCAATACAGAGAAAAACGATTTCCTGGCAAGTACTCTAGTCACACTTGGGTGCAAGCAGCTCTTCTCAGTTGGGAGAAACCTAGAGCTACAATGATATTTAAAAGGTAACTGGATGCCTTTCTGGTATAGTAAAAACAGGAATACCCACTATGGTTGTTCTGGAGGTGCTGACCAGTATAATAAAGGAAGAAAAGAAGTAAAACACATTCATATTACAAACAAAAAGAACCACCTTCATTTGCAAATAATATATCATCTATGTAAAAGCTAATGAAATTACAAAAAACTTAGAGCTGATTGGTCAGATCAGTGAGTTTGTAAAATACAAGATAAATGTATTTCCTCTGCAATTCATAATGCATCTTTTAATAATTAATAAGAAATTAGAATTGAGTTTTAAAGTATAACATAAAAACTTAATTCTATGATATGACTATGGATAAATCTGTCAAAAGAAATGAATGATTCCTACAGTATAACTATAGAACATCCCTGAGAGGAATTAAAGTATGGAGAGTTCTTTCTATCTGTCTCCAGATCGCTCCAAATTTTAATATAGTACTTCTCCCTGACTCATATACAAATTTCATGCACTCTGAAATTCCAAGGAAGTTATTATTATTGTTATTATCATCATCATCATCATCATCATCATCATCATCATCTAGCTACCTCAGGGTAGTGAGGTGGTTCAGTGGGTTAGGGCACTTGTCCCAAACCCTGATCACCTGGGTTCAGTTCCTATAAGGTACATGGTGGAAGGAGCAAACTGAATCTCAAAAGGTGCTCTCTGACTGCCACACTAGCACAGCATAATGAACTTGCATGTGTATGTATGCATGCACACACACACACACACTCACACTAAATAAGTAAATACATAAATGCAAAAAAAAAAAAAAAAAAAAAACAAAGGAAGAATTTTTCAGGTGTAGTGGAGCACCGAGGAAGCAGAGACAAGGAGATCTCTGTGAGTCCAAGGTCAGTCTGGTCTACATAAAGAGATTCCAAGAGAGACAAGGAAACATAGACCCTGTCTCAAAGAAAGAAAGAAAGAAAGAAAGAAAGAAAGAAAGAAAGAAAGAAAGAAAGAAAGAAAGAAA